GCAGCACTGTACCCACATCAGATTGGGCAACTGGATATGGGCAGACTGTAGCGCTTTCATGACTAAAAGTCTGACTACAAAGGTTTTAAAGAGAATCGGTTACAATGAGTATATGCAAGAATTTGAAAAATGAATTTGAACTTAAACTTTTATAATTTTGCCGGCTTTATATTTATCCCCTTGCTTAGTTTTATTTAATTTGTCCTAGTATGACATTGTGAGGCTAAGATTCAGGGTTAGGAGGTTATTTGAGGTCTGACAGTTGTCCTGTCAACTGCCTAATCCCATGTTTATAACATGCTGTCTTTCAGCTCCTAAGTATCCATAAAGCCTGTAACGCCCTGCACGCAAAGGTCTCCGGCACGGAGCTTTGCGCGCAGTGTGTGAGCTGAGTGCAGGCAGACGATTGACTGCACCTTCAGCCAATCACCTTCGAGTGTAACATGATGTCGCATGCTGATGTGCGGGTTTATACGCGCGAGCCGATTGGCTGAAGATAAAAATTTTCATCTCTGCATGCTCAGCTACGCAAGCTCTCGCAAGCTGACGTGCCGAGGAGAAAATTACATGACACACTGCTCATGAAGGCATCGTGCCACCGCTCCGCGCTGCTTCGCGTGCAGTGTGTCACAGCCTTAATAGTATCAAATACAGAGTATTGTAGTTGCTTTTATTGCACAAGGCTTTTTTGTTAGTCAATACTACTATGCACAATCAAGAGACTGTCTATGTTAACAGCCAGAGGTTAGGTAGTTGTCTAGACAGAAATACAAATTTTTCGTCTGTGTTTAGATTCTTTCTTAAATGGCATGTAAACCCTCACAATAAATCTCTTCTATTTACTCCCTTTTGGAGTGCTAAATACACCATTAAAGACAGTTTGTAGCTTATTAATATGTGCAAACATTATTCCTGGTTATCTCGGTGAACTACAGAACACCTCCAGTTATGGACATGAGGGGACGTGTTCTTTAGTCCTAACATACTTCCTGTCTTACCATGACAATGCTGCTCCCCCATTGGTACAGCACAGTAAGTGCTGTCACTGTAGGACAGGAAGTGGCATGATCACCAGGTGATAATGAAGGAAAAAATGGAAAAAGGAAAAGAAATGTAGCCACCACAGCTAAGGACAGAAAAGCTGCAATATATTATTTTTTTATCTTGAGTTTAGATACTCTTAAAGTCTTAAGTCTTTTTAGGGCAGGGAGTCTGAATAAAGTGCTTACACTTGTGATTCTTCAGTACAGGGTGACACTCTGAATAATGTATTGGAATACATATTTCCAATACAATAAATAAATGATGTATTGAAATAAACAAGGTTTACCATTGCAAACCTTGACTTAAATGTTCTTCTAAATGCTATGCACAGACTTTTCTGTGTAATCTGTGCAGTTAAAAGATCTTCCTGTCACAATTGTACTATGCTGAGGTACCAGTAGAAAGCATCTGCCCTGGGATGCAATTAGGGAGAGAATACTTTAAATCTTCATTCTACAAATGTGGGAAAGTAATTACTATTCTGTGCTTATATTTTATGTACAAACAGGTGCAGCCCTGGCTGGCAGCCCCTTTAAGCCGTAGGAACCATACAGCCTGAGCATTCCTGTGATTCTTCGGCAGCCTGGACCTCCTCCCCACCACTGATAAGATAGTGTGGCAGGGAGGGGAGAGAGGAGGACTTTGAATGGCTGTATCTATGGCCAGGAATTACCCTGCCCACCTGACCTGAGAAAGGAAGGAGACCTGGCAGGAGCCAGAAAATAAAGGAGTGGTGGACTGTGTGCAGAGTGGGACGTGCCAGCAGTGACAAGGTGTGACACAGGAGCTTGTGGGAGAGGACTGTGCAGGGAGGCTAGAGAACCCCGGGCATTGAAGCCAGAAGAGAGACAGCGTGCGCAGGCTGGCATCAGGTTGCTGAGCCAGAGGACCTACGTGGGCACATGCTACAAGGACAGGCTTGAGAGGGGAGACCCAGGGCATTGCAAGCTACCTCTCACCTGAGCAATGTCAAGGTGTTAGAGACACCTGTGTTACCTTTGCAATCACCCAGTCTTTTGGGTTTGACTTTGAGAGACTGATTGCTGTCAGGAGGACAGTTGTGAAGCATCATAGGGTGAGAGGCCTTTGGCTGCACTTATATGTATTGAACTTGTTTTCCGTCATGGGAATTTTGCTGCCACAGGAGAGTTCTGCCTAAAGGGGACTGCATCCCATTTTCGTTACATGTGAATTACAAGTTGTAAAGTAGATAGACCACACAAATTGAACTCCCCTGTGTTCTCCTTTAGGAAATTCTTTTACTGTGTGTGTTTCATTGATATCAGCAGGGTCGGTCCCCTCATCAACCTAATCCACCTAATCCACTTTTGTGCAAAAATATTTTACAGTGGGGTCAATACTAACAAAAGCAGGAGATTCCAATATTTCAGCATCTCCTTAAAGATTGAGTGCTACACAGACAATGTGATAATCACAGGTTGATCATAAACCTTATGGTCCAAGAAAATAGATAATTAAGGGTGGAAAGAGCAGAACCAAACTGTTTTTCAAAAGTGGCAGGTCCCAGACAAGTGGTAGAAACAGAGTTAAGGAGAATGCATTGCTGCCAACATGTGAAAAAAAAACCTAAGCTCCCTGGAGCCTGTTGTCATCCCATAATAGAGGTACGAGTTAATCACTTCTTCATGATATGTAGGCCAGAATTCCAGCACATGTGGATGGTGCATCAATCTGCAATCTGTTGGTAAGCAGCCTGTGTTGGTGCTGCATTTCTGCTAGGCAAGATGGCTGTGGAATGAGCAGCAAAGTTTTCTGCAAACCCTTCTGGCCTGGTGAAGTATATCTTAGGCTGGGCACACACCTTACAACCATTGCAAGACTTTTGTCTTGCGATGGTTGTAAGGTACTTAAAAAAACGATCTCTCTGCCTATCTTGCATAGGCAGATCATACTTGCGATGATCGCAAGCCACGCCCCCTGAGGGGCGGGTTTCCGATGACCGCAATGCCGAACGGGCAGTGTGCGTTTGCGCACACCGGCCCGTACGGCTGTTATCGTACGGACATGCCACAAACCCGCCGAACATCGTACGATGCTCAGCGAGTTTTCGAACAGGTCCGTAAGTTTAAAGTGGTGCAACCTTACAGTAGTAGAGGTCGCACGGCTTCCACACACCTTACGATAATCGTACGATTGCGGGATTTCCCGCGATTATCGTACGATTATCGTAAGGTGTGGGGACCTTTAGAGTCCAGGGTGTTTTGCAGGAGGCATTGTGCTATGAGGTTTAGGGCATGGTCCAGGCAAAGCATCAAGCAGGTTTGTGCCATTATTATACAGGACCCTGCATGTTCGATAAAAAGAAATATAAATAAATAAATTGAAAACCTCCATATATAGAACCTTATATCCATTGTTGATAAATAAATGGATAAAATAAAATGACAGGGCAGCAGGAACAAATGACTGCTGCCCTCAAATTAAG